TAGTTGCAGGGAATTTTTCCTTGTTAGCCTGCTATTTTGATAATGTGGCTCTTATGCTGCTATGGGGCACAATACTAATTCGATTATCACAGCCGAAGTTGACGGTGCAGTTATCACAAAGAAATACTGAGTGGAAATGATAATAATAGTTGTGATGACCGTCATTATCGTCAATTGCAGTTCGCTCAAATTCTTCATGGGCGTGTTACAAATTGAAAAATGTAAATTGCCTATCATGCATAGAACATTGCAGGAATATTCGGAATTTGTAATAAAATCCCTGTAAATTTGACTCTCAGGATCTAGTTATGCATCAATCTCACAATTAATGTCACTGTCCTAATCGAATTGAACCAAGGGAATCAGATAAGATTGTAAATACATTTTTAAACTTTGCATAAACCACGTCCCAACGTTTGATTTTCCTGGCGAAGTCCGAATAATGTTTATCAAGCCAAGACTTGGCTCCAACAGTATTTTTTTCGCCCAACTGACAAAAGTTGCTTCACTAAAAATGTTTTATTCCACAAACTAATAGTCCGACAGCTGTGAAATTTCAACAAGTGTCTTTTGAGGGTTAGGGTTAACTAAAAATCATATGATTTATTATAAGGAGCGCCATCTATGTGCTAGTCTACGAACTTTTCAACCCACCTGATTCCACTCGAACTGCAAATTTATTTTTGAGCAATAACAATCGATCAACCAGCTTTAGATGATGCAGTTTGCTTCCATGATTTTGTTATATAAAAATGGAAATTTATTGATAAAATTTTGAGGTCTTGTGCTAGGTTTTACTTTCGAAAGTGAATTTGACTGATTGATACTACTTCTAGTTCCATTACTGTTAAAATTACTTCGCCGTTTCCACCTCAATTTAGAAAAAAGATCTCAGCATGCTTTAGATCGAAATATCTTCAACCGTTATTTCGAAGCAAACCACTACCTATAAAAGCACTTTCTCAGAAATTATCTGCATTAAATCATTCATAAGAAAGTGGCATTGATGTGGCAAGAAACGGAGCGGCAAACTCTTATCGAATTTAATATGATGAATTGGTTTAATTGAACGTCAAAGTATGACCAGAGATAAGAAAAGGGGTGTTGAACTGAGTGAGTCGCGTTTCAGGTTCACACATTTTTTTATTTCTACTAATGGAGAGTTGACGGATGTGATATACGAGGAGTTTCTGAACTAAAATTAATGTTAGGGGCTTTTGACGTTCATGAATCTTGATAATGTCATCTGGGATGATGGCAACAGGTCGAACCTGAAAACCAAATGTTACTGATGGTGCTGATGTGTGACGAAACTTACATGTATTCCCCAAGAAGATTGTAAAAAACTTGGTGCAACTGTATCGAGCACCTTCAAAGACAAACTGTCAACGCTATAAATGAAAATTTGGGTGAGTTTGTTTGTTTTTGATCGCAATACTTCAAAGAAAGAAAGTTTTGAGAAGACGGAGGAACGGAAATCACAGTTAATCCCGAAGTTCATATCAGATTAAAATATTTTGCGATGCAAAACATTATTGGAGATCTTTTTTATATAAATTTGTTCAAAATTTCAAAGTAGGGGCCTCACCTAGCTCACCTAGTGAATAGCTAATAATAAAAAATTTATCGAAATCTTCAAAAACGAAATGTTCAATATATGTGACAAAATTGAACACTGGAAAATTTCCAATTTCATTGAAGCATTTTCCCAGAGAATTTGATTCAACAAATGAAATTCATTGGAGATTCAATTCTGAAAAATTGAAGCTTCGGTATGAGAAGTTTGATTTTTTCTTCAGAACTACTAACGTTTTTTCATTGAAGAAGTTCGTTACCCTCGCACACTTAATGAACTTTCTGTCGCAGAACAATCAATTTCTGCAAACAGAGTTGAGCCTTTACACCTTATACAGGCTGATTCACGGTGGATGGCACATTAGACGTTTCTGGTGAACCAGACAACGGATCACTTTGAAAATTTAATGGAGGGCATATTCGGACATTCTCTAGCCAACTAAAATATTTTCGACAATGCGGTGTTGCCGCTTCTATT